GAATAATAATAGTTATTGATTTTATTAATGAGTTTAAGTCTTCCGCATTACTTTCTGTTGATATTATATTGAAATGTTAAGGTTAGATTTGGTTGGTTCGCTCACATAGGAGGGTAAGTGTGGGTGCCAGTCGCGACCCGGATTTGGGTCGTGACACATAATCTAAACCAAACATGCAATTCAACTTCACAAAACACAAGACAAGACTTATCTTCAATATCACTTCATTTCATTTACTAGGCCTTCAAAGCCATACTCACAAAACATACTAAGTAATATCAAGTTCATCAAATAAACACCGCCACCAAGAATGTGGACCATACCACTCAAGAGCAATTTACAATAAGAGCTGCAATATAAAAAATTCACCATTTAACAAAGCCATAATCAACTATAATCATTTTCTTAATATTTCATCATAATAAGGCCCTTAGGGCAGTAGCTAAACCAACATGGAAACATAAGAAAACCAAAGTTCATACCTTACCCAAACATGCTCATTTAACCCATTTCTTAAGCTAAAAGTTTGAAATATGCATATACATGAGTTCTTAGGTTTTTAACGTTAAAATAATCAATTCATACAATAATAAACGCATTCAAACTATTAGAACACTTTTAAAAGAAGACTCATACTTAAAATCAAAGATAGAAGGAATTTGAGTTTGAAAACCCTTTTTGAAATCCTTTGGAAATGGCTCCTTGAATGGAAGAGGGTTCAAGGATGGATACCATACCTCAAAGAGAAGGAAACCCACTGATTTTGGTGAAGATACACGTCCAAACCATCCCTCCTTGCCTTCCTTGAGTCATAGCTTCAATGGTGACTTTGGGAGAGTTTTCTTTAGAGAGGGAGTTTTAAAATATTTGAAGTGAGGGGTCTTGTCTAGGTCTAGGGTTTAAAACTAACTTAATATATCTTAAAAACACTAAAAGTATATACCTAGGGTTATAAAAGACTTGGGGTGAATTTACATAAAACACCCCAAGTTGGCAGCAGCTTTCCACAGCTTTTCGAAGTGGCCAATCGACGACCCAAGCTACTGGGTGTCGATGAGTCGACGACCCGTGCTGTTGGGCATCGATGGCACGAGGCTGGTTCAAGGGAGGGCTGGACCTCTCACCAAGTATGGAACGACGGCCCCAGTCGACGGGGCGTCGATGGGCCTACGCCCAGTAGATTGCTCCGTCGTTTGGGCAGTGTTCTTGGTAGTCTTGTCCAATTCTTGGGCCCTTCATCTAGGGCCTTGTGGGTCCTAGGTGGGCTCGTGACCGGACATTAAGCCCCTTAACTAAGTCGTTTAGGTATTAGGAACACCTCACATCAGTTTTAAGCAAAAACGAACACGTAAAGCTCACTCAAACACATCAAGACGCAAGAACACTATCTAAGGCACACCTTCCGTACGTCATGAACGTTTGACCTCCAAACCTAACCAAACTTCACACACTGCCTAAGAACACTAATATAACTCATTTTAACTTAAAATTAACTCAAGATACAACCATGAGGCTCTAGTTCACCTTAGTTCATTTTGGGGCGTTACATTAAGAATGATTATGATTTTGCTTAAGTTACCATATCACATTTGCTATGAAAGATTACTTGTTATGGAAAATTTATAAGTTAAGCTAATTTCATAACTATCAATGAATAGAATTCGAAGTATTACTAATCATGTCACCTATCTGCACAAATGAAAATTTTGATACAAAATGATGCAACAAAATTACTAGTTAGAGGGCGAGTTGATAAGTTAGCTGAAGGAGTAGCAAGACATCAATGTGGAAAAGCTCTCAATACTCTTAATCTATGGATTTGTGTTTCGGCGCTAAGTCAAAATTATACTAGTGAAATACAAATTATAAAATTGTGAGCTTTTTTTGTTGTAGTAGAGAATAAAGAGATGGTGTCTTCCCATCCTTATTTTTTTTTGAAACTTCAGGTTTTAATTAGTTTTGCTTCTGTTTTTTTTCATTCATTTGTATAAAGTTTCTTAAATGGTAGAAGCTGCTCATAACTTAACTTGTAAATATTTTTTTATTCGATTGTTAATACTGTCATTGTTTGGTGTTGAATTGATGTGGAGGTTTAATATTTGATTAATCTAACACTTCAAAAGGTTAAGTTCTCTTGATATAGCATGTACTGATTATTTAAAATTTAAATATTTTCAGCTCTTTGTCTCATATAACTTATATGATTATTAAAGAGTTAATTATTTTGTTTGAAATTTTACAGATAAAAATGTGATTTGTAAGACCTTGGTGATTATGTTTAAGTGCAGGTGTACTCTGTCCTACTTTTTAACTTCTTTAGTCCTATTTTTACACAGATTTGAATAGTCATGAGTCAACAAGAACCTTCAAAAAGAAACAAAAAAGCAAAAATACGACATTTGCTAAACCAATATCGTTATCATTCTAAGCAAATAAGAGTTATTGACAACAAATGAAATTGTTCAAGATATAGAGTACGAGAAAGGGCATCTGCTTAAACTAATTGGAGTACAACAACCAGTGGCACCACAATCTGAAGCAAATAGACAATCTATAGAAGAGCAACATGTCTTGAGCAGCCTATTGAGGAGCCGCCTTTCGAGGATCAAGTGCAAATGAATTATGTCACTCCTCAAACAGATGATCAATTTCAAGAACAAGGTAAGATATAATCTTAGAAACCTATTAAATGTATCCATGATTAATGTTGGCCTTCTTTGGTCTCTATATTGGCTTGAATTGAAACTTGACTAATGCTGTGAGTTTGATAGTTATAGCAGCCTTTCAAATTTGTTTACTTGCACTTTTTATTAAGTTGGACTTGTTAAAAAAGAAATATTGAGATATTGACCTTGTCTAGTACACTATATAGCACTAATATACCTTCGGTTAACATTATAGATTCATTTCTTTGCATAAAATCTCTGAAACAAATACTAAGAATCGAAAAAGCTGATGAATCCACACACTGCTTGCAAAAAGAGTTTCGCTTTAGTCCGTAATAAACTTGTGTGTTAACTTATTTATTATCTAGTCTTAACATGACATTTAAACAATCTCTAACATACATTTCACTGTGACTGGGAGATAGATAAGGAGACAGTGTCATCTAAGGATCTCTTAGTGGTTACAAGAAGAAGAAAACACAGGCGTTTATACAAGAGTTCGAATGCGGGATGAATTGATACTAACATATTGACAGGATTGTCCATCCCTTCGCCAAGAGAACATAATTATGTTCAAGGGGCTGAGCAAGGTTAGTGTCGCTTATTCCATGTTTTGACTGTTTCTTCTTCTTCTTATTTATGTTTCTCTTGCAACTCTATTTCCTTTCTCTGTTGTGACTTTGTTTATTTTCTATTACTCCTTTTTCTTGCTGTTCTTCTTCATTTTTCTATTGACGGTGATGTGGATGGTGTGGTGAATTATGTTCTTTTGCTGTGGAAAAAAATTGTGATAAACGGAAAGGAACTAATTTTGGTGATAATGTTGAAAGATATAGCGTGAAGTACTGATTTTTTTTTTTTTTTTTAAAATGTGGCAGTCAAGTAATTTTAGTGGTTGTGGCAGTCGAGTAAAAAAAGTATTTTTGAATGGTACTTCATTGGAGTAATTTGTTTTTGTATCAATACATTGATTGAAGCAAATTATTGAGCTTGTCTTTGTTTATTATATGTTGATTGATAAGGAATTGGTAATGCCCTGCTTGTCTTGGCCACCAGTATATCCATGACCTTTTGAATTAACATGGTGGATTCTCCTAATTGTGCTAATTTCATTGATAAATTCTTTCCCGGAATCGCGTAGGACTTTTACTGCAACATATATTTCACTGAAAAGTCTGCCTTTGTATACAGTTTCATAACTCCTTTCTCCTTATTTTTCATTAAAATCATTTGTTATCTTCTTAATATCAGTATAAGAATATAGTGTTGGTTTGATGGCCTTGTAGTGTTCCAAAAACTTTTCAAGTCCAACTCGACTCTCTCTTCCATTTGTACTTGTCAAATATAGCTTATAAAGTGAGAAGACAATAATTCAAACAAGCATTGGGCTGTCTGTTAAAGTGAGAAGACAATAATTAGATAAATAACATGTCATAAGCATAAAGAAAAATCAAGTAGGAAACTTATGGAGTGTGAACTTTATCAAACTAACTTCCAATCAAGGGCATCTTAGATTTAATACCTATTATGGACAAAGTGTATATATATGAAGTGCTTTTTTTTTTTTTATCAACGATGGAAAAACTAGAAAGAAATAAAGACATACAAATTTGTGTATATTTGTGTTTTGGTAGATTGGCTTCTATGCAGTGGTCAAGATCATAAAGGTGAATTTCCTTTTAGAGATAATCAATCTTTTTGACAACTTAGTGAAGAGACGGGAGAAGATCAAGGATGGTGTCTTTTTATTGTTACATTGCAATTCAAAGCAAGGATAGCCACAATGTTTTGGTTGATGACTGAGTCTGAATGGGAAATGAACGATGGTTCATTGCTTTTGTAACTCCATCTTCTATTGTTGGCCAGGTTTATTTGAAAAACAAGGCATTAACTCCATCTTCTATTGTTGCAGTAACATATAATAACTGTTGCAAATGCCATTGAGCGACATTTATAATCATTTAAAACTGTTGGCAATAGCCACGGAGCGACATTTAAAATTGTTGCAGTACTATGTAACAATCATCACAATAGAATCAAATGGTTGTTGAATAGAGAGGAATTGTAGCCATAGCCTCGAAAAACTGTGGCATAAATTTAAACTCCGACGGTTCATAACCGTACTAATACGACACTAACCATGGGAAACTAATTAAAGTGAAAACCGTGGCAATAGGTCTACCTACTACTACGATTATGGGAACCGTCACACATAACTGTAGCAACAGATCTATTGCTACTCGATCTGTTGTAGCGGTCGCCTTAATCGTGGCGTTAGGCCTATGGCTACGGTAGGATGGTCTATTGCAACGTTAATTGAATCGTGACAGTATATCAAATTTCTAGCAGTGGAATGTTAATTAATTTAGAATGAATAAGCCTCTATTTATAGATTCCTAAACCTTCTTTTACAAGAAAAATAATTAGTAATTTAAAAACCTTTTCCTAAAGGGAAACATATTTATGGTAAGAAATTAGGACAACTAAAACCCAACAATAAGCCCTAGTTTTGAATGAGTTTGAAAAATTCTATCCAACCCCTATCCCGGGTTGGGTTGGGCCGACCACATGGGCTAAGCCCATTTTGACGGCTCTAATTTTGAGTAAAGTTAATGGAATTTAGAAAAAATACATTCAAATTGTGAAGACTTTATAGAAGCATGACGAAACACAATTCCATCTTTAAAAATTTCAAATAAAGTGATTAATATTTAATTTTCACGACGGTCAAATGCCCATTTGGCATGTAAAACAAACTTGAACTTAGGATGACTTCTCGGATTTATACATTTTGGCACAGAAAAAATAGACTAAAAAGTTGCAGAAGCTAAGTGCAGCCAAGAGCCAGAAGAAATAATCAAGATGACCACTGTTCAAGTTATTTGGAATCCATCCAGGTTTTCCACCTTGAGTTGTAATGGATGTTACTACTGTCAGTATGAAAGAGCTCAAGTAGTTACCCATAGCAGTGGTCAACAGTGACAATGCACTGCACAAGCTACGCATTGCATCGGGTGATTGATCATAAAAGAACTCAAGTTGCCCAATGAAAGTAAATATCTCAGCTGCTCCCAGTATAAAATACTGCGGGATCTGCCAAAAGATACTCAGAGGTACTGCAACTGCTTCATCCACCAAATGAAGGTCTCTTGCGAGTTGTAGACGCTTGAACTCAACGATAGCAGCAGCTGACATGCACAACACAGAAAGAAAAAGTCCAATTCCTATTCGCTGTAACTTGGAAAATCCCCTTTCATTTCCGGTAAAACTCCTTGCAATTGGAACAAGGATTCTATCATAGACTGGGACCCATATAATTACACTTACAGCATCGAAAAGTGAAAGAGATGCAGGAGGAATTCTGAAGGAACCAATGGCAGTGTCCATCACCGTCCCTTGCTCCACAAATAATGTAGCCATTTGTGCATAAACAGAAGAAAAGACAATTCCAGTTGCCCATATCGGGAACATGCGGATCAAAATTTTCAGTTCCTCAACTTGAGTAACAGTACAGAGCCTCCAAGCATTGGAATAGTCTCCAGCTATGCATTCGGTGTCTGAAACTACAGCAGCTTTGTCAAGGCACCTGAGGAATAAATATAATTCTAATAAGTTGCAGCAAATTCAACATAAGTTGCAAGGAGTGTGGAAAACATACTTGGTGATTCTTTAAAGCATTTTTCAGAGAACTAGTTTTTGTTCACATATTTTATAAAAGGGAAAATACACAGGTACCCCAATCAAATCCTTGTCTTTTTTAAAGAACATCTCTTCAGTATCAGTGTAAGGACCAGGTTCTTACTTCTACAACTAAGTGTTTACAAAATTCTTTACAGTTGTATATAGTAGAGTTGCAGATTTGTTCTTTATAAACCTTCTACTCCTTCCTCGGGACATTATATCTTTTTTTCTTCAATCCTAAATATATGTTCTACATAGAATCAGGTTCCCTAAGTGAGTTATAAGATATAAAATATTAACAATATTAATTTTACTAATTATTTTTTATTCATTAGAATAACTCATAAAATAGAATGATGCAGTTGCTATCAAACCAGAAATATGTGAAACCTGAATGTAAAATATGTCTATGAATCGCTTTTAAAAGAATATCTATGAATAATTGATTGAAAAATAATAATAAATGTATCTAATGTCTTCAATGAAATAACAAAGGCGTGAGACAACTTTATCAGAAATATAAATTTCAATTACATATTCTGCATACTACAACAAAAAGATCCTAAAATATGTACCAAACAATAACTTATTTTTCTATAAAGCACCTAAAAATCGAAGTTTAACAACAATATAATAAGATTGCCTTGAAAATGCAATTACTTGTGATAAGTCCACGGGTCTATATATGAGTATATTTTATTGTATTTATATAAAATATAGCACTATTTGTGTTACTTTTTAATGATATGATGCTTCAGTATTCATGAAAAATTCAACACTCATTCAAATAGTAAAAAATAATAAATATGTTTTCATTTTCAAATTTAATTTTTTACAAAACAGAAAATAAATTAATAAAATAAGAAAAATAGACGATTCAATAACAACATTATAAACACGTTTGTGATGAGTCATGTATAATTTGCAGAAAAAAATATTACAAATTCAAACTAAAGAGAAAATAATATCTAAGACATAGAATGATTAAAATATGTTCTCTAACTAAAATCTTAATCTTATAAGAGAAATGATGATTTATACGATTTAAAAGCTCATATGCGAAAATAAGAGAATAAATATATTGCATAAAAAAAATTATAGCTGCGATAAATATCTTGTGTGATTTTCAAAGGTAAAATTATTTTACTATTACCTGTAAATTATATACTTTCATCATATTTATTGTTGAAATTTCACCTTTTAAAAAATGAAAAACTAAGGAAAAAAATAGAAAGGAGTAAAAGGAACAAATAAAGATAATAAAATAGAGAAAGGAAAAAAACCCAGTAAATATCCTGACTGAAACTACGTTATAAAAATACTCGGATAAATCTATATATCTTGAATTCCAAGAACACTTCAAATTGCATCATTAATTTAAAAAGAGACATATTTTACAATAAGAGAGAGAGAGAGAGGGACAAACAAAGAAATATTGTTAAAAATTTGAAACCTTCCGATTTAAAAAAAAAAAAATTAGTGAAGGGCAGGGGATGGAGGAGGACTATGAGATTTCTAGGAACACAAAATCAATTCTTGGCCGTTGTCGCTTTCGAGAAATTGCTGCAGACACCACACTTCATATGATTGTCTTAGAGTCTTCTGTTTCTTAACTAAAATAGTGTTCCTATATCTTCTATGCCTTTTGAAATGTATATGAAGATGAAATGATTTCATTATTCACTTGGAAAAAGATTTATTATTTTTAATTGCCTTTTCGCTTATCCTTTTCATGGTTATTTAAATGTAAGTTTCAACAGTTGTCTTCTCAATCATTCTAATTATTGTAATTGAAATGTGAATTTATTTTTCAGGTAATTAAAAATTATAATATCATGCTTTTATTTTCGTATAATATTATATATATTCAAATAATGTTCAAGTGAAGGGCAAGTTCGTAATTCAACTTGAGCTAAGGGGCTTCCCACTTATAATATAATATGATATATATATATATATTTGATTAGTGGGGGAGAAAATAATAGAGTATTAGAGAAGAGTGCTTGGATAGACTTTATTGTTTGAAGGCAGTTAACACACTAGGAATCATCTTATGATGTTTTTTTTTGGATAGGTTTCATTGATTAAAGGCTATCACTAACATCAAATTCACATTGAATTAGTTGTTATCTCGTCAAATTTTTAAGAATCACCACATACTGGATTTCTAGGATGGATTGACTTCAAAAAGGTAATTACACTACCACACTTCGTTTATGATGCTTAAATAAGTATCTAGAAAGTATTTCTGAGGAGCAACCATGGTTGATTTGAAGTATCGGATGAACCATAGGGGAACGGGTATAAATGAACGTTGTCGTGTTGGTTGGGGAAGAAGGTGAATATTAATTGGTTATTGTAATGGTCCAAACAGTTCCAATAGTCTATTTTAATCAAGGGGATTAATTGGTAAATCAAGATTTCAACCATCCATGAACATTAGGGACTTGGATGACTTGAAGACTAAGGGTGTGTTTGGTACGAAGGAAAATGTTTTCCTAGAAAATGTTTTGCTGAAAAACAAGTAAATTTTGGACTTATTTTCTCATGTTCGGTTGGTGAGTAGAAAATATTTTTTGAAAATGATTTTTAGTGTTTGATTTATGAATGAAAAATACTTTTGAGGAATATCTTTTATTTTTACTAGAATACAAAATAATTTATGAAATTGAAAATATTTTTTAAAAAATAATTTTTTTTTGGGTGGTGGTGATAAGGGGTGGGAGTAGTGGTGTGTGTGTGGGGGGGGGGGGGGACGCCAAAGGGAGGAGGTAGGAATGAAAAAATAAAAATTTGAAGTTGATAGTATTTAGGCTGGCCGGGGGGGGGGGGGAGAGGTAGGAGCTTAAAAATAAAATATTTTTAAAAAGTAAAATTAATTTTTTGGGGAGGGGTGGTGTTGGGGGCGGGGGGTAGAGGGGGAGGGTGGTCAGAAATCGGTGAAAAAATAAAATTTTGAAATTGAAAATATTTTTTAAAAAATTGATATTTTTTTTAAAAAAAATATAATTTAAAATTGGAGGAGAGCTTTAGAAAATGTTTTCCTTAGTTTTTGAAGGGAAGTGAGGAAAATGAGTTGATTTGGAAAACATTTTCCAAAACTTTTGCCCCAACCAAACATGAGAAAATTGGAAAACATTTTCCAGAAAATGTTATCCTTCATACCAAACACACTCTAAGTCTAAAACCTTAATGGCTTATGTTGAGTTGTACTGGATATGAATCGATAGATTTGAACTATATCTATGTAGATATTGTTGACCGTTTGAAGTGCCAATTGTTTGAAAAGCTAAGAGTACGTCCAAGAAAGTTTGAGTTATACACTCTTTACCCAACAACATAATTCCAAAGATGTATGAAAATGTTTTAGAATGTGAATGTATGTTTGAAAGGGCAGGCAAACGAGCGTGAAGTTCCCATCATTCATGAGTGTAATGGCTTAAATTACAATTCTAAGTATATAATAATATGATAAAAGATATTGTGATGTTGATTTCAAAGTAAGAACTTTTGGCATCATATCGATTATAAATGTCACAACTATCATATGAGCTTTATGAGAGCATAGAGGAGAAGAGTGTAAAATTAAATGTTTTCCTTAGCAGAGAAGAAAATATTATTACCTCAGTTCATCAGTGTGCAGTAGCTTTCGGCTTCCTTCAATTGCAGAGCTTTTGTCTGGGGTTTCATAAAGTAGTGTACTATCATCGGGGACAGACAAGTTCCGTTTGTGGAATGCTGCAACCAGAACCTGGTACATTCTTGTGAGAGGACTTCCCCCAGGTTTTTGAAATCTGTAGAGCGGCGTACCCAAAAAGAAACTTGCAATGGCAATGCTCATGAAAAGTGCAGGGATGCCAAACCCAAGGCCCCATCCATCATTTTCTTGAATCCACACAATCAAAGTGCTTGATATCAAAGCTCCAATGTTGATGGAGAAATAGAACCAATTGAAGAAGGATCCCTTTTTAACCCTCTCTTTTGGATCTGTGTCATCAAATTGATCAGCACCAAATGCCGAAACACATGGCTTAATCCCACCAGTTCCAACAGCAATCAGATAGAGGCCAGAAAAGAATATGGCATATTGGGCAGGAGTTGCTGAAGGGCACACAGAACCCACACATTCAGGGGGCTTAAAAGCTAGAATTGAAGCTGATAGTGTCAATGTGCACATTCCCTATATAACCAATCAACAACACAAAAATCATGAAATAAGATGTGTAAGTCCAGCAGAAAGAAAGACTGCAAGAAGAGGATAGTTTTGTAATTCACTGTTGCACTAATTCTGGAGCAAAGATAAAATCCCAATTACAAAGGAGAGATATGTTCCGGTTCAAAAGTCAAGACATGTATTTACTCTCTCATTTAACTTGCTATATCAGTAAAGATGAGACCTTTAACCACAAGAGTTCAAAACAGAAAAGGCATTGAGCAGATAGCTACTATCTTTCTTCCTTATCACATTCTTACTTTTCCCCAACTTTAGCTTGTTTAAAACTTGTAAAATATCACACACTTCACAAAGTTGTTATAAGTTCCATATGATGAATTCAATAGCTAATTTAAAATAGTATTAGGATAGTGTATACAATAGACCCATGTGGTTCAGCCCTTCTCCGGACCCACACATAGCGGGAGCTTAGTGCACTGGGCTGCCCTTCTCTAAATAAATGATTCTCTTTGGATCTTTCATAAAAGGAAATTGGCACTTAAATAGTTTTCCAGGAAAGTGGCTCTACCTTCCTCAAAGTTGCAACCTATGTTACTCGGTCTCTCTGAAAAAGTCGATGAGTACGTGTCGGGCCCTCCAAAAGTAGTGCATTTTTGGAGGATCCAACACTGGTGCATCAACTGTTTTGCAGAGTTGGCGCAACATAGGTTGCAACAACCAATACATACACCTGGAACCAAGGTCAAATATTTGGTGCCACAGTTGCACCCACCAATTATAAAACAAACGAAAGAGGTTAAATATGTATCACGTCTATTTAATGTTAATATCTCACTAGGTAATATCCGAAGTGACTAACTTATTCCAAACCAATAGAATAGGCAGGGTCACTTCTACCTTTTACAGAATATCTAAAGTTAGAACTTGCAAAAATTAAGTAGAGCAAAACCATTTTAGGATTTAAACTGAATACTAACATTCAAATACACCATGAAAACACAGTAGAAATGCTCATGTAAAATAATAAAAAACTGATAGTAGCCTTGCACATCCATTAACCAAGAAATAGTACATTTCCATTGTCCTCATAATTTCATCCCTATTGCATATGATGTTTTGCAGGTACATGAATTCACTTGAATTGGCCCACAACTTCAACAAATAGTAAGCACCTTGGCATTCACTCATCACTTCCTGATGGTTGGTACGTGGGGGAATGGATGTTGGAACAAATTAAGAATCCTACTATCTTTGGGAAAAATCTCTTCAAATGAGTGAAAAGTTGAAACATACCTCACCATCGTCGTCAAATGCAACATTTTCCAAATATGAGTATCAACAAACTTAGGGGGCTAAATTTCATGAATAATATGGGAAGTAATATCCTCTGATAAAAAATGGGAATGTATAGCAGCCTTACATGAAACATCGTCCAGGACCTCCGGTACATTCATGACATCTTCTTCAATAGGAAAATTATCTGACGCTATAAAGTAAAGTACACCCAATATGGTCCAATTATCAAACCAAAAGTTAGAGGATCCCGTGTTAATTTTTTTACCAAATTCAATGCTCAATCAACTCTCTTGCCTCTTAATATTTTACGCTATACATGAGAACCTTATTCCATGGAACAATAATCGAGTGAAGATTTTTATAATATTTTATCACTCATAAAAGAGATCCTCTAAGGAGAACTCTTCTTGTTGATACCAGTAAAGATGAGAACTCTTCATCCTATACTCTTTGCACCAATTCCTCTGATGGCTTATTATGGATATAAACTCCAATCTTCTCTTCACTTATGGCCCGAGACATCTTCATACTCAAATAATACCTCTATAATTCAATAAAGAGAATCCGTTGAATAGAAAATTATGGTATCAACCGCATATGCTAAATAATTGATTTTTGGACTCCATTTTGGCATAGAAAAATCACAGACCATTAAGTTTTCATATAATGCATTTAAACTCCTAGAAAATACTTCGACAGAAAGAATAAAAAGATCTTGAGATAGGGAATCACCTTGCTTCACACCTTTTGAAGATTAAAAGAATCCATAAGATTGTCCATTCTGAAAAATCGAAAACCAGTTGTTTGAAAATATTCTCGTGACCATGTCAATAAAGCTCTCTCGAGATTCCATTTTATGCAAGACGTTTGAAGGAAAAATCCAAGATGCTTTATTGTGACTTTTATCTATATTCAATTTAATAACCACTTTAGCAGACTTATCTCTCTTCCTTTAGAATTGAGAAAGAAGAAAAACCTTCTTCGTATTTCAGTATGTCCTTAAAGAAATAAAATATTTTATTTCTATAATTACACTAGGAAAAGGAAAAATAGAGTATTTTAATCATGTTTCTTGTGATTAAGAGACTGGCTACATTATTGTTGTCCCCAATATCCTCCATCCTAGATTGATATGAAATATCTTCCCTTTCCAAAATAGTAAATGGCGTTGTAGTTAAATTAGAAGTATTAGCTTCATTCCTTTAGGGAGTCATCTGGTAAAGTCACCACATTATTATTAGTATCACTTTAGTTTTCGTTTTCTACTCTATATCAGCTATTGGAGCAAGAGGATCATTTGTTGGTAAAAAAACAACTCCTTATCTTTTGAACCATCAGATTTATAAGCAGCAATCCGTTGATCAGTTGCACCATCAACCTTCTTATTAGTCTCAGCCTTATCCTAAACCTGCTTCCTTTAAGGATTGCTCACAATTTCAATTGGTTCAGCCGTATCAATAGAAGGTACATCATCTAACCTACCAGTTTGTTCTTCATTCTAATCCACAATCAATTTTTCGGTGTAACCTACCAGTGGTGTTTGCAATATTTGGGCAAATAATCATAATGTGCTTTTATTCATTTTGATCTGACTTTACCGATGACAATGTCACAACAATCAATCTACACTTTTTTGTAAAATCTCCAAGCTAATCAACCTCAGCTAAGTCGAGTTTGATTATTTGTAGCCATTTGCACCTTCAAAGGTTTCCCGAGAGCTGATGCAAGAGAAATACCGACTCTTCAGCAGATAAATCAAGAGGTAGTCCAGAAACGAAATATATGCAACTGCAATGGCGTTCTTCATCTGAATCAAACTAAGGATTTCACTTTAACATTGGTAAAATATCTTTAAACTTGAGATAGAACACCGGTTTGGCTAGCACATTAACTTAGTCCTCTAAAAGTTCTATCACCACAAAATGATTTCTTAAGAAACTTATCGTACAATCAACCTTGATCATATTGAATTGGAATGATCTTCCTTAAATCTTTGAGTTACGACCATGTACATGAAATTTACCAATAACATCTTATTGTAAATTTTCCTTGATGAAGTCGATCAAAACTCTGTCTGAATCCCACATCATAGTAGGTTCGTTGTGCAGATACACAACAAATTTGAGTGGAATAAGTTGCACGGGTTATAGCATTGAAGGGTTTAAGGAGTGAAGCATCAGAATTTCGGTTAGGAGGCTGAACACAACCTCAAGAGAAATGGAAAAATGACAAAATATGAATATTCAAGTCACAGAAAGAAATTTTATAATCATCTCACAAGCAATAAGTTTAAAATTTTGTTTAAAATGAAGCTGAGATATTTACCACGAAGTAGATAATAGAGAAGGTAGCAATTGTCCGATATCTTCCCCAGTATGCATCTGCCAGTACTGCCCCAATAAGGGGCATTAGGTAACACGTGCCTTGCCAAGTTGTGACATTTCTAGCAGCTGAGACATTTCCCTCATGTAACTTCTTGGTAAGATAGGTAACAAGATTAACAGAAATACCATAAAACGCCAAACGTTCACAACATTCATTACCTGAGACCAAGATCCACAACCAAATCAATACCAAAACAGGTAAAAAGAGAAGAAAATAAATGGGCAATTTGACTAATGCATACCAAGAATAAAAGGGCAAGCTCTCCAGTTCCCCGTCTCACTTTTTAAAACAGGATTACCATTGATATCAACAGAACCATCTCTAGTGTACATTCCACTATCCTCATTCTACAAATAGGAATTTTTTTAAGAATAGCAAAAAAAATAACTTGCAAGTAATCACATTTGCATAATGCATAAGTAGCCCCAACCTATGCCCGAAATCTCACAAACACACTTATACTATACTAAAGTCCTACTATCTTCTGAGCCAGCGCATGTTCGAAAAATTTTTCAAGCTAATTCCACGTACGCCGAAAAAAAGATAAAAAATTATTTATAAAATAAGTTTAGGAGTAATAGAATCTTGGTATAGTATAAATGTGTCCCTGAATTTCAAGCATAGATTTGAGATACTTATGCATTTTCCCAATTGTATATGATTAACTTTCAAATACAGTTGTAGTGCAAATAATTTGCTATAATGTATATGTTAGAGTAACTAAAATGAACTATACAAGTCATTGCATTATTGCATTTATAAAAATAAAATGAAGGAATATTCATAGAAATCTCAGATTTAGCAAATTCATATAGTTTCAACTAACTAATCCTTAATGAGAAGGTTCTTCTTACTTCATTAATTGAAATTTTTGTGAACAAAATAAAATACTATAGTAATTATGATCAAATACAATTCTAACTCCAACTTGGGAAATTTCAAATAAAGCAATGGTCACTTACAGAGTGATTAAAAATGAATTATGAAGTAAAGAAAGAGAAATTAGAACCTGATGAATACCACCATCTCGTAGAAGAGATATTTCATCTGTTTGAGTACCCATTGGATCTCACAATTTACTAAAAATTGAGATATTTGTTGAATCTACAAAGGGAAATGGCAGAAGAGCAAAAATGGGTCAACTGACAGAGAAGTTGAATAGGCCAAAAAGATATTGTTCCCTCTCATTTTAATATTTTGGGTCAGTTTGAAGATGCATATACAGTCATACTTTGATCTCATTTCAAATCATATTGATCTATACTTAGTCAAACCCAATTATCACTTTTGACATCAAGTTTAGTCTCTGCTTCAGTTTTAAAGATATATATATATATATATCAATTTATGGGATACATCTACTTTTTGAGAGGTAAAACTTTTATATATCATTTAAATATTTAGGATTGTCAATTATTGTAACTTATACACTAGTATCACCGGTGTAGTTTATAAATATATAAATGAGAAGTACTATATAATCAGAAAATTTGGCCAGAATTTGACCAGAAAATTTTATAAATTATAATCTTTTTTGTTTTAAAATAATTCGATCTTTTTTTTCATCTTTTAGTAAAAGATATTAAAGATAAAAAGATAAAAATATTTTTAAAAAAGTAAAATTATTTCATTCTGACCAAATTTTTCTAGCAAAAAAAGAATTTTTCCATATAAATTTCATTTCAAAAAATTTAAAAATTTTATGTGTATATTTATGATCAAACTTAAATTGTTTGATACACGAAACACCAAAATGTTACATAAAATGAGATATAAAAATTATGTAATTTAAATTCTTCAAACATAAAACTATGTAAAATGAAGAAAAATATTCTTAGTTGATTATTTAGTTTTAAAATATTTATCATGATTAATAATTTGGTTGAAAAATTCTCTTATTATAATTAAACGGATTAAAACTTAAAACTATCTTATTTCAATGAATATTTTAATTCTTTTCCCTTTTTAACAAATTATTTTCCTAATGTTGATTTTCCTTTAGGAGTAATGCATGAGTATTCCTAAATTATGATCCAAACCTCTGGAACATATTTAAATTTAATTAGGATCAAACTATTTTAAAATGAAATAATCCCCCCCCCCCCCCTTAACTCCAAAAGCTGACGTGACAAAGAGAAAAATGTGCATATGCAAGTGAAGACCGTATCTTTTTCTAATTCGGCAAAATACATAAATATGTTATTTAATTTGGTCTTATTTCACATTTATATTCTCAACTTTGAGTATGCATCAGTAGATACTTAACCTCATATAAAGTTGAACAAACGAAAACATGAATCCTGTGTGGCATAATTCTTACAGGACACCACGTAGGATGCAAATTACCATGTATGATGTCATGTCAGACATGTGTGTCTTTTTGTTCCATCTTAATACAAGTTTGAGTGTCTACCTGTGCATATTCAAAGTTGAAAAACATAAATGTAAAATGATGTAAAATTAAATGACATATTTATGTATTATGCCTTTAGAATTAGTTAGTACACATAATTGACCTTTTTTTTTAGTTTTTAAAAGGAAAAAAAGTTTGAAATACATTTAAACTTTGACCAAAATTGTTGTAACAATCTCAAACTTTGGATAGAATCTATCACCCCTTGCACTATTTAGTGGTGTATTTTAAAGATACATAATTGTTCAGCTGGACAAGTTACTATTATAATGATGTAATATTTCTGATGTCGACGTGGACAATTATATATCTCTAAAATACACTATTAAATAGTGGAGAGGGTAATAAGTCATGCCTAAAATTTGAGATTGTTACAATAATTTCAATCAAAGTTCAATATATTTCAAATCTTTTTCCTTTATAAAACATACAAGTATTAATCTTGTTTTATGTTTTCTTTTATTAAAAAAAAAAATTGAAATATATTCCAAAAATATGTTTGAAACATCAATTCAAATTTTACTCTAATCTTCAAATATTTTTGAAAAAATATTTAAATGTTTATGATCAACTGCTGATTATAAAAACTCAATTTTTTAAAAAATTAACTTCAAAATCTTTCGCCAAGTAGAAGCTAGTCTAATGAAAAGAAGAGGAAAGTGATGTGCTTTGTTATAAATAAATATAAATAAAGAGAAGTGGAAGAGGGCATTGTAAATTGCAATAAATTAGTTTAGAGGGCACGTTTCTTCCAATAATTGTCCATCCACTACACTCTTACCTAATTATTTCACTTAAATAATTCCTCATGTTTTTTTTTTAATTTTGTTTTTTTTTTGTTTTGGAATAATATTTTATTCTGTCCACTCCATCATCAGAATTATCAAGTGCTCAACCACTAAAATAAGCTCGAAGGAAAAATATAATTTAAAAAAAGTTTTATAATTTAAACAAATTATATAATTATAAATTATTTTATATTATAAGAAGAAAGAAATATTAAATTAAGTTATGGAATAGTTTGGCAGCTAACAAAGAAACAATATATTTATATATTACTAGGTAAATTATTCGTACTTCGCACGGAATTAAATTATATTATTAAGCTCACATCGATCATTCAGTAATGTCCGGATTTTCGATATATACACTACATTGTCAAGATCATTTCATCTTAAGGCAATTCAAAATCTTAAAAGTGCTATATTTTTTTTACTTTTAATTTTTTTATACAAAATTTATAAGTCATTGAGTTATTTTAATTATAAGAAAGAAGTCTAAGAAATTTCCATGGTCAGAAGTAATGAAATTTTCTAAATTACAAGAACTTATAAAGAGCAACATCAGATGTTAAAGAAGAGACCAAAAAGTCTCGAACAACAACACTCCCAAGTAAAGTGGAATATCATGTCCATACAAAAACATAATCAACTAATTCAAATGAAGCACCTTCGGCTCCTTTTTTATGACCCTAGAATTGTTAGTATCATAAATATTTTTCTCATCGTCTCAGAATAGTCATCACTATTGCTTAGGTTTTATATCACCAGCCCAACTTATTTGGAATTGAATCATGGTTATTGTTATGGTTATAGTGTAATTATCAACCAAGCAGTAGGCGACATCATTCATAACTGGATATTCTAAACCAAAGTTTTTACACATAACATAAAGACATAATACATATATTGGACCCTAACTTGGCTTCAAATTTTAACTTTGACCTCAACTTTCATAGTGCACAAATAGGCACTTTAACTATCCCATATTTTAATAAATAAACAAGCGATTCATACCTGGCAAAATGCATGAAATGCACGCATTCTACGCGAGTGAGGGGTAATTTTCGAGGCCCACAAAGGTAAAAAAATGCTGAAATGACAATTCTACTCTTAATGAATCTCTTTTATATTAATTAAAATTAATTTTAATTTTTTTTAAGTTTCAAAATGACATATAAGATACTTTTTTTTAAAAAGACATGTAAAATGTTTATTTAGTTGACAGTCACTGATTGGCTCACCAATACACGTGGGAGCGTTTGATTTCATGCTTTTTGGCTCCAAAAATCATGTGTTTATTTATTGAAAGATAGGATAGTTAAAGTGCCTATTTGTGCACAATGAAAGTTTGAGGTCAAAGGTAAAAATTGAAGCCAAATTTAGGGTCCAATATATGTATTATGCCTAACATAAAATCTCAAAGCATAATTTTCTGAGTGCTTGAACTCACAAATATCCACAAATAATAATAAAGACAACCTTACTTTCCTAACAATCACGCATGTTGTTTCACATATATATCAAAAAGATAGTCTATCGGTTTGTATCCAAATTTAAGGTTCACAAATTTAATTGAAAGAAACAAAAAAAAAGAGTTATTACTTCTTTATCTCAAAAGAAAGAATTATCACTATGGCAAAAATGATCTTTAGCAACAATTATAAATGTCCATAGAAAAAGTCCATATAACAACATTGAATGTAATGACAATTAATTAATGTAGGTAAATTAAAGGCTCTAGCACTCTTCGTTACTGTGAATATTCATTGTCGATAAAAAATATTTTTGCTTTAGTGTATTTTGGACATTTATTTGTCTCGAGAAAACTTGAACTCTTATTATGCCTAAAAAGAAGAGACGAAGAAATATGACAAATTAGTTAACTTGCGATAAAAGAAGTGAACTGACTGTCTCTATACTGATATTCTAGGAAGGGTGCAATGACATATAAAATGTTTGTACCTAAGAATGAGCAATCAAAATAATATACTAACTATGGCAAAGAAGAGAGCAATATGTTTGGTTCTTTTGACAAACTTCAACATTGGTTGCGTATTAGTTATCACATATTTATTATTTTGTGCTATTAAATATAGCACAATCCACAAGAAATTTTTCCAAAAAGTATACGAATAAATCTATAGAAAGAGACAAAATAGAAGATAAATTTTTAATCATCCTCACTGGAATTTTTAACTCAGTTAAAAAAAGACACTAAAATAAAAAAAAGAAATTGCAATAGATACATGAATTACTATGACTTGCAGTAAAAAATTAAGCTTCATTAGACAAGAGGAAGAAAACTTTGAGGAATGAAACACACTTCATAAGAAGCTTAATTGATGTATTTAAATTCAACTCTCCTATAGCGAAAAAACCTACAAATAATAGTGGTAGAAATAAATGTTTTGTTATTAAAGAACCAATTATAATGAATTGAACCATTTCATCAGTTTTGTTAGTGTTGACTGAGATGTGCAAGAGTAGTAATGCCACATTGGAATTAAAACCATTTTACTTTGTTTATTTGAAGAAACCTGTAGGGAGGAAGAAAGAGAAAATCGATTTTTAATTATCGTTGCTAAATATTTTATTTAAGTTAAAACAGGTCACCAAAATAGTAAAAGAAATTGTCATAATTAAATGAAGAACTATGACTTATAGTAAAGATTAATCTCCATGAAGTAAGAGGAAGAAAATTGTAAGAAACGAAACAAACTTCATAAGAAGCATAATTAATGTATTTGAATTCGACTAACCTATAACGAAAAAAGCCTACAAATAATAGTGGAAGAAAATTCCTCTATTTATATTAAATAAACTGGAGGTCACAACTATTTGAAAATGTTACAACTCTTCGAAAAGTTACAACCCTCCGAAAAGGTCACAACCTTACATAAAAGTCACAACTTTTCATAAAGTCGCAACTCTTCATAAAAGTCGTAACTCTTCCTTTGCAACTTTTTCATAAACTAACAACTTTTCATGAAAGGAAAAAACTAGCTTTGGTAATAGATAATTTTAAAGGAAAATCCTTGTTTGTTGTGGCTCCACGTAGGCGGGCCTAGGGTTCTTATATATATATATATATATAT